CTCTGAAGAAAGAAATGTGCCAATAAAAAAACCACACAAAAGTATAACTACAATAGAGTATTGCGCTAACATCTGTGCCGCTAACTTCATAGACCTGGGAACATGCTTCCATCTGCTGGCAAAGATTAGTTACTGGCAATATTTTCTCCTGCTATAAGCATAACCCAGTGCCCAGATTGTGCAGAAGGGTGGCATTAATAATATGAAAAGCAATGGATGTGGATTTTTACAATTGCATTCATAAATGCAATGCCAAGAATGGATCTGATTGGTCCTACATCCCTCCTGTATCAATATGACAAAAGCAAAACATGCCACAGACATGCCAGTGAATATTTTGGTCTAACTCCCAAAAACTTGCATACGTCATTGAGCTGACGGTACCATGGGAGGAAGCAATTGAGGAAGCGTTTAAGCATAAAAAGCTGCGGTATGCCAACTTGGGAGCTGAGGCAGAGGACAGAGGCTGGAAGATCAAGATGCGCCCGGTGGAGGTGGGATGCAGGGGCATTGTTGCCAGTACAACAGCAAAACTGCTTAGAGAGATTGGGATCAGAGGACAGGTGCAACAGCAGGCTATAAGAGAATTAGCTAACACTGCTGAGAGGACCAGTCACTAGCTATGGCTAAAAAGGGCTGACATCACTTGGGCAGCTAAGGCAGTTAGCTAACTGTGAGAGAAAAGAAAATATTCCGCTCTTCTCCCCTCTGCTCTTCTTCCCTTTTCTGGGAGGCAGTAGGGAGGTAGAGCATACAGCCCGATCCGGCGGGGAGGTATGGGAAGCCAGATCGGGCGCCCCCCTTCCGGCTCTCCTCCCTCCTATCTCCTATCTTACTGTAGAAACGGTAGAAAACTAAACAGAAGAAGGAAGAAGAGAAATAACAATTTGACATAAACCAGTGACACACTCCGGGTCCTGATCAAACCTGGCAGGGCCTCTTTGGATGAGAGTGTCTAGTGATAATGGTCGAAACACCCGATGAATCCAAGGTCCACTACTGATGATGTGTCCCAAATTTTAATATGATAATCTAGATTAGATCTCCAATCCCTAAACCTAACCAAGAAAGAAAAATGGCAGATTATCTTGGGTAAAGACCAAAAGTTCAGCCACACAACGATGTGTGCCGCTAGTAAAGTTTCCGGGCTGCCTTTCCTCATAAAAGCCATCCCTGAAGATTCTCTCCATTTAAAGCAATGCATTATCAGAGACTGTAACATCTAGTCCTTTTACTGATTCAGCCATAACTAGAGGAAAGAGTCCTGAAACAAAACCCTCTTATCAAACAAGAATAAATCACTTTGTGATTAGATAAAGTGACAATGGAAACCTGGGCAGGTTGGAATAAGTGACAAGTGGGGAACAAAAACAAAAGTTTAATTTTTTTCTTCTGCTCTTGTTCCTCAGACTTCAAGTGAAGTTACTGTTCTGCATCTCACTCGTTCTCATTTCCCACCTCTGCCCCTCAGACTGTTTCTGTCCATTGTTATTAACCTTCCACTCCTGCTTGATGGCTATACGCTCTGATGCGACTCATGTCGGAGCCTGTGCTTCATTAATAATACTTTATATATAATACATATATAATACTATATAATTTTTTTATTTTATTTTATTTTTTTTACAATTCTGAGTTGTATTTAAGATGTAACGAATAGCTCTATTTCACTTCTGCCTCCAGTGGTTGCACTGCAAACACTCAAAATTTTACCAAGTACATTTGTCTTATTTCTAGTCAAAATAATCTCATTACACTTAAAATAAGACACATAAGACTACAGAGTAACATTTCAGTAAGATATAGGAACTTGGTTTTAGACAGTGCATTTTGAAACTGGTGAATTTTCACTTGTTCTACTGGCACTGTCATACCTAATACAAGATGTTTTTGCTTGAAATAAGTAATAAAAATGTATGTTTTTATATATGCATATAAAAACACAAAAAGAAGCACAAATCAATCAAATCAACCTATACAACACAGCCAAATAGACATTTTAAAAAGAAAAAAACATTCATGAACAAATAAAGACTTTTTTTTATAATCAACGTGCTGTTTAAAAAAAGATTACATTAATCATGACAGACGTAGAAGAGATTAAGTCATGAATGTTGTTTTCCTTGGTTGCCCTTATTAGCAGGTGAGGCCTCACTCCCGAGGCGTAACATGCCGACGTTTTGTCACGTCCCGCGGCGTACCTGAGATCTCATGGTATGCGCCGGGTTATGGGGGAAAATCCAGTGGAATGACGCTCCCGCAGTAATAGACGTTCCAGCCCTGTATTCCAGCCCTAACCATAACCTTATTCCTGACCTTAACCAGGACTTTAATGACGTTAAATAACGTGTTTCCAAGCGATTTGAAGAAAAAGAGCGAACATGTGTCGATTGAGTCCAGGCGGTTCTCATATTTCCTCATTTTTCCGAGGTCGTCATTTAGGAACGTGTTGAGTAGCTGAAAACGTAATATGTTGACGATTTGTCACCTAGCATAAAATGTTACGCTTTGGGAGTGAGAACGTGTGGAATTAAAAAATGAAGAAATTACACCAGATCTATAACATGTTAGTTACTTTAATGTAATTACAGCACATATCATCTGGAAAATTCTAACGGCACTGCTAATATTACATTTTAAATTATGCGTTATAATTGTATTGCAGCCGCTCAACTTCCACAACTTAATATAACACAGAAAAAAATACAATAATGCAAACATGTTTGGCAGTGTGTCTCGTTCCTTGACCAGAGCAGACTGGATTTGTATGGTGAGTTATTCTTCTGTCAAATGATTGTCAGAATATTTTTCTTTAAAAAAAAATAAAAAATTATTCCATTACTAAACTTTATTTAAAAAAAAAAATTCTTGTACCTCCACCTAAAAAAACTTTTATCTCTATATATGGTAAAGATTCATAACTGTGTAATACAGCCTTAAATTAAGATTATAAGAACTTAGAAACATGCATATACTACTAGTTGAGAAAAAGTGTCTGTCACTTTATTCATTCTGAAACAGTCAGTTAACTTTACTGGTTTAATTAGATTTTATTGTGAGTGTTGGAGTCTGTCATCACCGTGTTGCTTCATTCTAATTCATGCTTTCATTGTCCAAAGCCTCACACGGGCTTTACCGTCACGGCACAGCCAGTACATCTCTGCTGCACAAGTCTCTGAAGCTATGAGAGAGATGACACTGATTACTGACAAAAGTATGAATAATGCATGTTGTGCTTTTTTTCACTGTAACATTTAGTGTACATTTTAAGAATGTTTGTACTTACAAGTGATGAAATTTCTGATATCGCTCGTTCTTTCGTTTCAAAATTAGATAGTAAGGACACTTTTAGGTGAGCAATCGCTATTTGGGCAGAAAGAAAGAAATACACATTTAGAATGTAATTAAACCTGCAAACTAAAGTAGTTGAAACATTTGGTGTTTTGCCACTTTTTTCAGAAGTGACACATACAATGAAGGAATCTTTGTCTAAATGTGAATTTTTGATATAGCTCTCAAATGGTGACAAACCTATAGCTGAATTACTAGAGGTGGGAGAAAATGTTGAAGAAAGACTGGATCCTGAGGTTGTGGTCACATTAAGTGGTGCAAGTGTTGTACTGTTTGCTGTTGTGAAAGAGATCATAGACAAAGAAGCTGTTATGATATTTATTGAAGCTGTAGCTTTTTGGTAGTGCAGTGGAAACATCTGTAATCAAAATGTAAATGTTTAAAACTGTGTATATATTTCTAGTCTCTGTGTTTTTCTTCACTTACATTGTTTACAGGTTGGATTATAGTCAGGACAGCAGTCACCCGCTGTCACACAGTACTCGTCACAGTAACACCCTCTGTTGCAGGAGTTGTTGTGCCCTGGGCAACATAGAGCTGGTGGACCCGAACAACCTGTAGCAACTGTAACACATAAAGACCGATATAAAATATGCACTGTCTGGCAGTATGCGCGAGGTGGACTCATGTGAGCTCATGCAAAGTATTTCTGACTAGCTAGAAAATGTTACTGTTAACATATTTTTAACAATCAGAGCTACGAGGCAAAAGAAGTTTGTATGAGCTTTGTAAGTTAATATTCATTCTTTCACCTTCATTCTTTGGCACAGCATGAAGTGTTGAAGGCAAGCTTTCTTTTAATTTCTTTAATGATCCCTCAGGAAAATGAGTGAAAGCCACTGTCTAATGAAACATTTCTAAAGACTGGGAACCTTTGCTCCAGATTACTTTAAAAACTGACAACAAACAAGCTTTGGCTCATTATGACAGAAAATGTGAAGCTTTTAAAGATTTTTAAAGATAGTAATCCAGTGGTACTCAGACTGTGTGGAGGGCCAAATTGGTGGAGAGAAGAGCCAGAACAGGAGACATGTGGACAAGCAGGGAAAACATATGAGGGGCAGCTAACTTGAATAAATATGACTTTTTCAGGAAAACAGTAGAAGATGGATGATTCATTTTAGGAACTATTTTATTGTTAATGACTGCTAAAAGAAGTTTTTTAGCTTCTCATATGGGGCATGCAGAAAAGGTTTAATAAACACTGTCAACAGGCAGACGCTTAGCGGGGACAGAAAAAGCCAAGAAAAAGTCTGGGTGCTGAAACATTTTGGCCCAATGTTACCTTGCAATTTACAACAATATTAATTTAATGATTTATATTTGGACTATGACTGGAAATGTAGTAATACGGGGTGACAGGAACACAATTTAAAAAGCAAATGTAAATGAAGAAGAAGGTTTGGCACAACAACAAGAAACAATCTGTACCTGTAGGTGCTGAAGTGTTTAGACTTGTTGATGTAGTTGCAGCAGTGCTGTTTGGGATTGTGAGGGAAGCAGTTGAAGTGAATGGAGTTATAGTAGTAGAGTTTCTGTCCGGTGGGCTAGATGTTGTATTGTCGCTCGTTGTGTTGACTGCAGTGACTAAAATTGTGCTGTTGTCTGCTCTCGTGAAGACTGGTAAGTGAAGATAGGGAAACAGCAAAAATATTATGAAACATTAACTGTCTATTGACATGGCTACAACAGCATACTTTACAGAATACTGAAAATACACATTTTTTCTTAAGTGATTATACATGTTGTGGAAAAAATGGCTCATTTAGGAAATGTTGCTGTGGTAATAATGCAAATAAGACACAACATTAAAACCACTGACAGATGACAAGAATAATTTCTGGCATTTATATTCAGGCCTGATGTACCACACACCCAAACACCAATGCAGAGCACATAAAACCCTTATTGCCAGCTCTATATGTGATAGCAGTGGCTTCCCCCTGCAAGAAAACGTACATGACACACTGGAGAAAATACTAAGGAGTCCCCCCAGAGCCCTGTAATGGTGTCATTTTAAAATTATACCAGTTACAGCTGCAGTCACAACTTAATGTTTATTGTTATGTACAACTCAAAAAATGATATATTTGAGTGTAGCATCAAGTTAATTAAACTTCTGGATATTGATCTGGTCAGCAGAAAGGATCTTTAATCAGTCTCAGCTGGCACATTAATACATGGCACTGCATTCAAGTATGAGCATTACCAGTACCATACAAAACACTGTAGGACACTCCAATAACTGTGTTGATATCACAGGTAAATGATTTCAATACATGTGATCGGTGTGTTCATATGCATATGAACCTGCCAGACTGGTTTGATAGTGTATGTTAATGATAAGACCCAATACAATGCTTTTACAGTCATCAAAAAATGGCAGTGGATCTTCTACCTCTCATTCTAAGAAATATACCATTTACTGAAGGAACTGTTCAGCACAACCTTTGAAAGTGTTTTACTCTCTCCAATAATCGTGTTGCTGCACTGTGGCAGACTCCTATTTCGAACAGTATAATAAAAAAAATTCTCCAGATTAATCCAGATCAATGTCAGGTTATATTTCATCTGTTACACTTGCTTGCTATAACATTGTTTCAAAATCCGGTTTGCAAACATTTCCATCCAAGACAAACCAAAGCAAAAGACAAATCAAAACAAACAAACACAAAATCATTTTTTTTCACTCAAAAAAGTGAATACTATGATAGAGATAAAGTACACTGTAATATCAAATTAGTTCCCAGAATGTAAAAAAAATGATTAAAAGCTAAACTTAATTAAGATAAGGGCAACTTATTCTTTCTGAGCAACCATGTTTAAAATCACAGCTCAGTTTCCTGCTAAATTTGCTTTGTTGTTTCATGTAAGCTCCTTAACAGACCACTTTGAAAGTAATATGTCATCTCAGCTCTTGTGCCTCTGCTTATTCACCCGAGAAAGAGATAAATGCTAAAAAATACAACCTGTAAAAATGAAGGCAAAAATAAATAAGACTTTAAATCCTGGGACAAAGTCAGTCATTCGACTGACAGAAGCTTCACAACAGGAAGACCGATTGCTTGTTTAACGGACGGCACCCTCTTCTTTGTCTACAATAAATTTATAGATTTCATTTAAATACAGATAAACATCGAACTAAATACATAAGAAAAACATAATACATTTATAAACAGTGTTCACATTTTTGGTACATAACTTAGTCTGATTTATGCTTTTCTGTAAAGAATAAGATGTGACTCAGCTACTTATGTGCATTTATATTTATGGGTATATGGTTTTTGGCTTTTGAAACCGGGCTGTCGCAATAAAAAAGAAAGAAAGTGCTTTTAAAATGAAAAAAACAAAACAAAAACAAAACAATCACATGTTACTCACCGCTGTAAGGAGGCAGAAAACCTGTCAGGAGTGTGAAACACCAAACTAATGCAAACCAATCCATGACTCTTACTGTTTGGTCAATTGGAGGGTAATGTCATTTCTAAGTGAATCACATTGAGTTATATAACACATTTGACTTCCTTGTTGATTAACTGCCTGTTGTGTAACACAGTTAAGACTATAGGCATGTTAGAAAACTGTTTCTTCTTCTTGCTCCTATTTGTAAATTGGGTGTGATTTATCATGCAGAGGAAAATATTTTAACAGAGGATTTTGCTAGCGTCAAAGGAAAATTACCAGTGATTAAAATAATGAACACAAACAGTAATTCCATAATTTTCTAATAATATTCAAACTTATTTCTCACACTAGCCTAATCCTGAAAAACAAAAACAACTTCTTGATTGGACCTCAGCGATCAAATTTGAAGCTAGAGGTTATAGGGTTTCAGTTTTATCAACCAGAATTTCATAAGTACCACGATGAGGCTGTACTTTACTGTGTGGATGTTCTGGAATGTAGACATAGGTGTACTATTACTGCAGCTGGAGGCATTTTCAAAATGTGGTGCAGCCAGTAATGTGGGGCATTCTTGAAAATTATTTGTTGTCTGCTTTTTCTGTTGCCCTGACACACTATAAAAACAATTACTTAATAATTGGAATAAACTTTTTTGACCAAGAAACAGATTGTAAACTCTTTTGTTAAAAGCAAATTAATTTCTCAGAGCATGAAATGGTGATTGACCAAGTAAAAAAAAAGGAAACAACACAAGTAACAATGGTAAACTCGCAAGCATAAAGTTGTCCGAGCGCCTGCTGCCAAGCCAAACAAACCAAACCTCTGGCTCATGCTCAGCGGTACCACTCTCTTCGATGCCGCTGCAGGGAAGTCGGACTCACCTGAGCGGCATCCACGATCACGTCTTGCCGACTTAAAAATCTGCAATGGGTCCTGGGTTATTGTTGTTGTTGGAGTGTTTAGCTGCAGCCGTGTGTGTAGTAATAAAAAGTGCTGGACGAGTCTGCTGTGGTATGTTTACAGAGGCCAACTGGGAAATTAATATTTTCAACACACAATTTATTTTGTCATAATAATTCGTCATCATCATAGCCAATATAACCAGAACACTTTATATTATGCAGACTGTCTATGACTGTTGTAGGTGGTGAGCACTGTCAGTAAGATAAAACAGATTTAAACCCATTGGAGAAACTTCTTAGGAGTTCCCCCAGGGCCCTGGAGGTGTAAGAGTCACATCAGCAGGGGTTCAGAACGCGTGATCATCACATGGTTCATGCAGACTTCAGATAGTTCCTGGAAGTGCTTAGTTCGAACATGTGAATGTGGGGAGACAGGACTCTTTTTCCAGTAATTAGTAACTGAAAATAGTTTTAAAACCAGAATTAAGTGCATGCTGTCAAATCTTTGTATTTGTGTTCATAAGTTACATATTCATGGTTTAGTATAAACACCAAGCCTTACCTGTATTCTTGGAAAACTTCCCTTTTGCATGCTACAGCTTTTTCTTTAACATTTTAAGCTTACCGATTGGGGTCACAACTTCTTTATTACTGTTATATTTTCATGAATAGAATAAATGTTTCAAAGTAAATAGTTTTTTCATTGGATTTTCAGTAATCCCAAGATAACTAATACTTTAAGTAATCTCAATTATAAATTAAGTTTAAGCCTTTCAGATGTATGATTAAGAAGTCTTCAGATTTCCATACATTCCATTCTGATCTATTACCAGAAGGTTTTTTTTTTTTTTTTAACAAGAAATGTTAAACATTAAGTTGGGGTTCATAATACATAGTTCATATAAACTTTGGATAGCTTTCAGAAGTGCTTCGAGTATATTTTTAATGTGCAGAACATTTTTTTCAATAATTAGTAGTCAATAAATGCACCGAGCTACAATAGCTTCCCTAACACAGCAAAACTGAGTATTAGCATGACTAGCAAGTCCTAACAAGCCTTTTTGACACATTTTAAGCTTACATTACCACAGTCAGCAGGCTTCTGTGGTTAAAATGTTTTGTATGCTAATCATTAGTAGTCACAACCTGATATTTATTGTTGTATTTTGATTAAATTGAATAAAAACCTCAGTAATCTTAACAACAATATATTTTAAGACTTTCAGGAACTGACTGATGGGTAAAGTTTCAGCATTCAGTGATACACATTAAACTGAATGCATAACAGATACAATAATACATTTATATAACATAAGCATTTATATAGCTTTTTGTAAACATAATTTTGTCCCATTATGTAAATAAAAAAGTAAATAAGTGATGCAGTTTTGTGCCTCAGTTAATTATTATTAAGTGGATTTTCCCTGTATTCACCATGTGTATCGGGTTTGTTGATATTAAAACATGGATGATGGCTCATTTAAAATGAAAAACTAAATATGTTACTCACCGCTGTGAAGAGGCAGCAAAGCTGTCAGAAGTGAGAAGTACATTGCAAACCAGTCCATGACTCTGACTGTTGAGTTGACTGTAGCCAAGAGTGGCACAGTGTCAAATTAGAGCAAACTGCGTTACGCAAGAGAGGAGGCATTTTTACTTCCTTGTTGACTTAAGAGACGACAGACACGGGTGGAAAGTGTTGACTTTAAACTATTCACCAGTTTTCAAATTGTGTTTTTAAAGGCCAAGTAAAATCAGAGTTAGGATTTATATTTTACACAAATTATAAATCAGTTTTTTTGGTAAATTCTAAATTCTACTCCCACAGAGGATAATTATCTTGTTAAGTGTACATCCTTACTGGGTAAGGCTCGGGATACTGTGGCTCCTCTGATAAAAAGAGCCTTAAATCAAAAGTACTTGAATCCCTGATATAACTCTCAAAAGCACATGCTATAACAGGTAACCCATAACCTGGAGAGGAAATGGGGCCTCACTAATTTAGCCTTTCTTTAGCCTGGAAAAAAAGAATAAAATAGTTTTTTGCTGTATAAAAAAGCTCTCTTAGAACATCTAACTCTTCATTACTGATTGGAGAAAATAGGAACAACCCGAGGTTTCTCTTCAGCCCTGTACCAGGCTGACAAACAGCCAGATCTCTGTTTGCCAAGTGTTCCTTTAATCGTAACCAGTAATCACTTCATGAATTTCCTCAGAAACAAAATCAGTACTGCTGTCCAGCTGTTGGGTGCTCGTGTCACATCTGTCCACCCCTATTTAAATAAAACTCTAGTTTTCACACAGTCATACTCATCATATACATTTTCCCCTGTCTGTCAGCTTAGACATTTTGATAATACACATATACTGTAATAACTGAAATAACACTAATAGAAATTAATAAATAAACAAAAAACCAAACAAATGAACAAAAGGAGACTATAGAGAACTTAGAGTTCTGATCTTGGAAAGGCAAAATGTGTTTGGCACAAAATTGCATTCAGATCATAATTCTGATTGCAAAAGTTGCCAGACAGGACAGGTTAGAAAATTGTTTAGTTGTCACAGGTAGTGTTGGAATTCCTCAAGAAAGACAGTTCCCTAAATGATACATTTTGTACACTTTTACCAGTGTTTTGAACTTTCATTTTTGTTATTTAATGTTTGACTTTTAGTTGTGAAATTTTGTAGTTTTGTGACATTACAGTAGAGATTTCCTTGTTGGTTTCTTTAGTTTATATACATGATATTCCAACAATCTACTCATCAGCTCCAAATGTAATCTTTTGATTTGCAATCTAAGTCCTTTCTGCTGAATGCTTAGTGTCTAACTTTAGCAGTTAAATTTTGGTCACTTTGGTCACTTTAATCTCACCATAGCCTGGTGCTTTCTCTTATCAGTTTTTCAGAGATACTTGCCCAGTTGAACCTGAAGCCATCCTGCCTTCCTCCCGTCGACCTCTGTCATTCTCATGAGAAGTTGAAAACCAGCTCGAAAAATGAAAAAAACAAAACAAAACAAAACAACAACATCTGAGCATCCTGGTACTGGTCCACACTGCCACCAGTGCAACCGCCTCAACTTGGGGTACATCAAACAATTTTTCTACTAAAGAGTTTTTTTGGTGCCCACATCTGGATAAGAACACAAAACAAGAACATGTTTCAGCATGCTCAATCTATGCAAGAAGTGGCCCCAAGCTTCCTACAGGACATTTATAAACATTATCAATTTCAAATCATATTACTCAGGTTAAGCATTGGATTTTGTAGCAGGTCTCCCACTAAAAACGAACAGATTATCTTCAACTCCCCACTTCTTCTGACACTGCTAAGATCCCAGCTAATCATGTGTTCAGGCTCTACAGCATTCCATCCAACAAAAGGCCCACAATTCATCTCCCAGGTTTGGAGGGCCTTTTGTGAAGCCCTAAGTGGTAAGGTCAAACTTAAAGGGTCAATCAGGAGGTAGGAGTCCCCTGATGTGTTATCTTCAAACCCATCTTTCTTGACAACTCAACCGGCATGGATGGAATATCCCCAAAGCACACACACTTCCTCTTCTGTAAGCCTTTCTTGTCTCAATGTTTCTCTAGGATACCAGCCAGTTTATAGTCTCAGACACAAGACTGGCAACAGTGACAGTAAAGACAAATCTTGTAAGTTAATAACGAATCAAGTTACAGGACAGACATGATCATTAATATGTAAATATATGCTGAAGATGCTGTGGCATTTGTTGTTGTAGTTTCAGTATTACTGCTTCTTGTGTTGACTTCTATGGAAGTTAGGAAGGTTGTTTTTGGTTAGAAAGGTTGTATTTGTTTATCATATATGTCAAAATACACAATGGATATTGAATAGGACAGTGGTAGTCTGAGGTTGTGTTGCCAATCAGTAGGGGGACCTCTGGATTCTGAAATGTTGCTGATGGCTGCTGATGGAAAGAATGGTGAAGATGGGAACATAACAAACCATTACTTATGGTGAGAGTACGTGGCATCTGATGGCTACCATAGTGGTCTTCCTAGAACAGTAAAATAATACACATCACCTTCTGTCATTTCTCTGTTAAAGGAGTGTGTTGTGTATACTTTCAATGAAAGTAATAAAAAAAATAATAGCACACCAAACAAAAAAAGTAACTATTTTCAAAGAGTATATTCAGTTTTTTTTAATAGAAAAAGGTTAAAAACCTAACAAAAGAATAACGCCCTAAAAATTTAGAAATACTTTATGTCATTTTACCAGATTAACATCAGGTCATGCTTTATTATATTATTAAAGTTAAATTGTTTCTGCAACTTGGATATCAATACAGAATTGGCTTCTAAACTTTTCATCACTTGCATTTAAAAATAGTAAATATGTTTTCATCACATTGACTATGTGCAACTGTGTGAAGCCTCACAGCTCAGTTTCCTGTTATATCAACTTTCATATCAACAGTTTTGTACTTCTGCATATTTAGACTGATCTAATAATTGAAAACTACACAAGCATAACAAATCAAGTCTATTAGGCAAACAGAAGATTGATAATAATGCACAGCAATTGGAATACATACAAAACATGAAGTGAAGTAATGCTAGATTAACCTATCAGAATCCGAGCACTTCATTAATCCCAGAAGTAATCAAATTGTCACAGTTGCTCCTAGACAGTAAGTAATACAACAAATTATGGAGTTAAAAAAATAGCTCTAATTATAACTATCCCACTATATTGCAAAAAATTAAATATGGTTGACATTGAGGTGTGTGAATGAATATTTGTGTTTCACCTTATTTAACCGTACTGATATGTAGCTGTAACTTTCCTGAACCAAGCAAGAGTATGAAGATTTAGAAACAAACTAGTTATAAACTGTGTTCAAGGTCATGGCCTACTCTATGTGTCTTCATTATCAGGCCGGTGCCTACATGACTGTGGGGAATGAGCTTCCTACCACTGAACAGATAAAGATTGTATCCACAGGATGGTTTTAAAGGAGCTGTTATTATTTTGTCTGATGGTAATTGACCACTTTACACAGGTTTTAACTCCTTTTTCCACAACAAGGTGCCCCTCTCACCAAATTTCACTTGCTATTTTCTCTGTAGAGGGTGAGCAACTATTGCACTGTGTACTTGTGCTTTAGATGGAGGAATTGTAGGCGAGGGAGAAAGGATTTCCTGTGCAGTTCAGTATTGCTCCTGTGACTGTTTAGCACATCATGGAGATATCCAGCATTGTACTGTCCAACCTGCCTCTCCAACACCACTTTAAGAGAGTCCAGCTCCCCATAATGTGCCTTGAGGATCAATTTATTGAGCCTGTTGGCATCTGTGAGTAAATAATTTATTAATTTGACTTCTTGTAGTCTATACACATTATCCACGTCTTCAGGTTAATGGCGCTCCTTTGCCATTTAGATTTATGAAAAATACCAAAACTTGGCAGTACCAGTACTGAGTCATGCTGCTTTTAAATATTAAATTCAAAGATATTTTACTTGCCAAGAGAGTCTGCAAAGGATCAGGATCAGATGCAAACCAATTCCTGACTGATAAGTCTGGTTAACACACACAGACTCTGGCGCAATGCCAAAGTATAGTTACCTTGACATGCTGTAAACATGAGGAGATTGCACAGATACATGACTGATTGCAGACTGTACACATGTAGGGAATGCTATTACAGCTACAAATGAATGACAACACGGTGACACAGATTTAATCATTTAGCAGAAAGACTGTCTGTAGCACAGCCAGGTTGTTTTCTGAGTAGACGTTTGTTTTTGGTTTTTTTGGCATATCCCATATGCCAAAAGTCATTTCAAAATTGATAAGAATTAAAATAAAAATAGTAATTCAAATCCTCTCTGACGATCATGATTAATTTATTAGATAACTATTAATTTTAGCATACAGTCAGGCTGTCCAGCTCTTTGGATCTTTTTTTTAAACAGCAGCTAACGTTTATCTTTGGCATCCTCCTGTAACAAAAACAGTATCTTTACTGTTGCCAGGATCGGGGCTTTTTATTATCTCAAACACAACACACAAGCTAATGGGATTCACATTTAATAGTATGGTACTGTATTTGTAAGTTATGGCATGTGCAGTGAGATATGCACTATCTCACACGTTTCAACTACCTGGTGTTAAATGTGACTGTTAGTATTATAAAACTGAAAAGCCCATGCTATTAACCTTGAAGCATCGACTTTCAAGCCTCTGATATCTTGAATCTTATGTAATTTCAAAAAATTAATTTGTTGTTGAGAATTTTGCAGTTTATTGTCAGAGTATAGCTGGTGCCGTATCCTGCCTGCAGTGACTGCTGCAAATCCCATTTCTCAGGTGGGTTTGACGTGTTGAACCTTGAGGACACAGCGCTCACAGTTCAACTGGAGAAGGATGTTGGACAGGAACTGTGAGAGAGGAGATTATCAGTGATTATAAAGGCACGCCGCATCTGAGGCTGTATGATTTGTATTCAGAAATTGTTTTTCCTTACACTGGATAAAGCCTCTAAGATCACATCTTTGTTATCCCGATCAGAGGATGAAAGTGAAGCTTTTAGATGAAAAGTCACTGCTTGGAAATCTTAAAGCAAGAAACAAATAAAAATACACTTATTTAAGTACTGCAGATCTTTGATGTATATAAATGTTAAAATAGATATATGGACATTTCATTGACTGTACCTTTGTCTGAGCTTGTGTCAGTTGTGGAATCCGTGTTTTTGTTGGAAATGCCAGCAGTGTTTCCACTTCCTGAGAAAGATACAACACCCCCGTTATCCAGATTTGCACAGCTGTCTAATAGTCTGTATTCTTAAAAGACTCTATCTAATGATATATAGCAGGTGTGTCAAACCTGCCAGAATTGGCCTGGCAAGGATTCCAATCCAACCCACTGGATGCCCTTGGAAAACGTAAGGGAGGACTTAAATTGTGGACTTTTACCTGTATTTTCATGTTTTACAACATTTCCTACTGATAGAATCGAATAGGTCTTTATTGTCATTGTACATGTACAACAAAATTGTGGAATTGTCATAAATACTTCCCTGATGGCTTTTCACATTAAATCAAAGTAATTATGTAAAAGATAAAGAATTAAATGTTGAATTAAATGTTTTTTCCACTACTTATACTAGAAATTTCTAGTATAGGCAGTTTTTTTTTCTTTTTAATGGATCCACAGCAACAAAAAATAGAAAGAAAAAAGAAACACTACCACAACTACCCAACTTTTAAAATATCTTTAATTGGAGACAATTTGGGATTCCATAGTAGGAAAGTATGTTTCTTGATATACTGATATACTGCTGTTAATAATTCCACCTGTGCTTGTCCTACCAATGGTTATGAAAACCTCTGTCATGATATACTGTAGGGTCATTCAAACAATGACCAACCTGCAACAGTGGAGACTGATGTTATGAGGTCATCTAAAGGAATAGATGCAGTAGTGCTGCTTTTTTGGCTGGTTGGTGTAGAATCAAAGACTGAGGTTGTTTCGATATCTGCTAGCGTAGTGGTGGTGCCCGCTGTTGCAGTGGAGATGACTGAAGATGTTTTCTTAATTGCTAGTGTAGATGTATCACTGCTTGTCTGGTTGGTTGCTGTAGATATTGGCACTGTGGATGCTGAGGCTGTGCTGACATTAAGTGTGGATGCTGCATTGAGCACTGGTGTGGTGATGTTTGTATCTGTATATATTATATTGTTGTTTCCAGTGGCTTGTTTTCTTGTTGGTACTTGGGTCAGAACTGTAGCAGAGAAGAAAGAGTTGCATTATAAATATTCAACCCTGAATCCACAAATTCTTACTTGTGAATGCAGACCTTGCTATTTTGCATGTTCAGTCTCACTTACATTCTGTACAGGTTGATCTGTAGTCACGGCAGCAGTCACCAAATGTCAGACATATCTGATCACAGTAACATCCCCTGAAACAACTGGAGTTTTGTCCAGGGCAGCATAGCACTGGTGGACCTGCACAGTCTGGAAACAGCACACACACCACAGCTTCTGGCATAAAACTGCATGATCAGCATGGCACATATTTGTAATTTTGCAACATGCTATTTTGAAATATACTAGTAATGTATAAAAATATAAAGTAATGATCTCACAAACAGTAATCAAAAAGATGAATAATATTAAATACAGAATAAATGCAACTGTAATAAATCTGGTTGTTTGTGTATTGTCAGATTGAGGAATTTCTGAAATGTTTTGTGGACAGGCAACAAGGTGGTTAGGGTTCAGGAGTAAGCAAGGATCACTAAATGGAATGAGAGCGGTGAAAACACTTCATTAGTTCCACATTAGATTGACAGGTGGTGACTGTGGAGGCTATTTGAGTATAATAAACTGATTGTCACGTTCAAGAAACCAGTTGATGTGAGCTTTGGGACATGGAATGTTATCCTGCTGGAAGCAGCCACCAAGATATGGTCATAAAGACATGGACAGTACTCAGGTAGCCTGTGCAGCAGCCTGATCAGTTCATACAAGGCCAGATGGAATCATGCTTTCATTTTGCCTATGTCTAAATGTCACAGTAGAAATGGGACCAGACATCTAATCTTCTTTTGTCTAATTTTGGTGAGCCTCTGAATCATAGAGCCAGTTTTCTGTTTTTAGCTGAGAGGAACAGCACTTGGTGGGGTCTTCCACTTCTGTAACCAACATATTTTTGTGCATTCAGAGATGATGTTCTTCACACCTTGGCTCTAATGAATGTTTTATTTGATTTGCTGTTGCCTTAGCATCAGCTCAATGCAGTCTGGCCATTCTCATTTCACCTTGGGCATCAACACGGTATTTTCACCCAGAGAACTGAGCAAAAATCCCTTGAACAGTTTCACTGGATATTTTCATTGGGTGTTTTCTTTTATCCTGGAATATTCCCTGTAAATGTAGAGATGTTTGTATAGGAAAATTCCAATAGATCAGCAGATTCTTAAAATACTCAGACAGTCTGTCTGCACCAACAACAATGTCACAATCAAAGTCACTTAAGTCACTTAAATCTCCTTTCTTCCCTATTCTGATACTTGGTTTGAGCTTTGTCACCATGTCTCCATGTCTTCTTGCTTTCTTTGAGCTTTCGCCATGTCTACCTGGTATGCCTAACAAAGTGGCTTGTGAGTGTACTTGTAGCTTCAGTAGGTGACAAAAATCAAATTCATTATTGTGGGGTTTAGATATAGGCAGCGTCTGTCGCACTGAACACAATGGCTAATTGTACAAAGATTGTTGTGGGTATTACCTGTTGGTTTAGTAGTTGGAGCTGGTATTTGGGCTAGAAAAATGGAAAGACAATGACAACAATATAAAAACACATTTATATTAAAGAAACATGTTAAATTTTAAATACATATTCTTAACATACAGTTATGACTTAATTTTTCTTGCCAAACAGGTACCAAAAGTACAAGGACTTAAATACATAGTAATGATATTACTTTCCTGCCAGTTTGAAGGTTCTTCTGCATCTGTACATTGCCAGACTGTAGCATAATGGCCTTGGCATCAGCATCAGCTCAAGCACCATGATAGATATTTAGAAATTCAGATCTACTCAGTCCATTCCTGAGATATGTATTCGAGCACTAGAACCAGCTAAAGGAGGCTCAGCACAGGGAAGTAAATATCATCATCTGTCACTAATAGCAGCCTCAAGCTCCAAACCATAAAATTAGTAGTGTTAATGCTTACAAACTCAGTCTAATCTTTACTAGTTAGAATAGTTTGCTTGCTGTTTTTGTTAGCTACTTAAGTGAAATCCAGCAATACCAGAATTATTGACCATGCATTCACCTATATATCCAGGGACATGAACTCAAACTATCAGTAACATTAAAGAGGATCCACCTGAAAACACATCAACTAATTAAAAAAATCTAAAGGATCTAAAAGTAGGTTCTACTCTTGTTAAAACAGCAGTTTGAAAGTATATGTAATGTCTCAAATACATTTTTTTAGTATGAAATAATTGTGCCATAACTTTTTGAAACTGTTAAATAGTAGCCAGTAGGCATAGCTTCACTTACCATCACAGAGAAACCTTAAGAAAAGAAAAATGCACAGAACAAACACATCCATGGCTCTATGTGGTGTTGCAACACTTGAGAGTAAGGATTCCACATAAACATGCCCTCATACAGATACAGACGAGCTTTTCAAGCAAGAACAGTCCTATTGTTTGCTAGAAAAAAAACAATTACCTTCCTTATCCGTATCATGTTACAGGTTTTGTGTTATTTGTTTTTCCTTTGTTTGGGTTGGTGTTCCTGCTGTACTGCAGGTGGTTAATGGGTTGTACCTTAAAAATGTACACGTAAACTTGGGACCAAATGGCTGCACACAAAGAAACACAAATGTCCTTACAGTCCACTTTTATTAGAGTAGTAAGTTCATCAGAAACCTTCAACAATGCAGGAAGTCAAAAACACCTTATGAAATGTGATCATTCACCACATACTTTTAAAATTTTTTATATTATCCAATGAGAATAATAGCTCAATTTACATGTAGAGTACAACGATTATATCAAATATATGTAGAAATAATAAGAAAAAGATAGGTATCTAAACATTCATGAAAAAATAGATATGCTGATATTCAGAAAACATAGCCCTAAAAAGCTAGGTAAAGACAACACTTGCTGGCTAACGAAGAAAAGCCAAAATCATTACACTCATCTGTTCTTTTTTATCCATATGGAGTTTTATGTAACTGATAGTGATTAAACTCATCCACATTCAAAGACAGTGTTTCATCTGGCATTCACACTCTCCAGCTCTCTCCAAACTCTTGAGTGCTTCTGGCTATGGTACCATCTGGCTTCATCCTGTCATTTTTTCTCTGAGCATCAAAGTTTCCACACAGGCCTCCCACCTTCCTTCTATAAATGTGTGGTAGAGTAATCTCTGCAGAATAAATATGAGCTTTTAATACATTCTATGAATATGGGAAACGATAAATTATTTATTAGCTTAAAGTGGAATGACACATTAAAGAAATTACATCATCTGCTTTTGATATTGTAAACTGGCTACCTGCTGAATGGTGTCCATTAAATGCCACTGACAAGCCAAAATCAGTTTGTAGGTAGATATGAGAGGAACGCTTTGAGATCTTTAGACCACCAGTCACTGAGACGGGCATTTCTGTAGGTTTTCCATCCACCTGAAGAGGAAAAAAAATCTCTCAGTGCAATTTAAGATAACTGAAGTATATGTAGATGTCAATTCTGCTGTTCATTCCTGTATGATTATGTTTGTTTTATGAAGAGAAACATACATTTTTGTTGTGGAAAGCTTGAGTATTAGCTGAAGTCTTTCCTATATTATCAAATACGTACAAGTTATTGAGATTCTATTAGCTTTCAGTGCGTAATAGCTAATGTTAGCATGCTAGTGTGATACAATCACAAGCAAAGTACATTATAACGCTTACAGTCTTATACTTGCTTAGTTTTAGTTCCGTACCCTTGCAAATTGAGATTCATAGGATTATATTACTCGCACACAGACACAATAACATCTAGGCACTGTATAAACATGGAATATTGCCATTACTGTTTTTTACACATTGTCTCTCTTCCTCTGTCTTATACCTACAAATTTTAAAGTGAAAAGAAATGCGCTATCACACAGCATAATTTAGCACATATAACATCCTCTCCCTCGCTACAGTTGTAACACCTTGAAGAGAAATGTGAAGAGGAGCTAGTTATTTCCCAGACTGATTTTACAAATGTCTGTGTGTAGGTAGCATTACACTGTGCCACAGTAAAATGCTAAGAAGTTAATGTGTTAATACATACGATCAGTTTCCGATTCTTCTTGAACTCCACAGTGTGATTGTACACTCTGATCTTAAGCTCTTGTAATCTGTGGTGCTCGTCATGTTCTTTGCTGTCATCGTCATCATCGTCATCATCATCACCTTCCCTGCTCTTCTGCTCTTCTTCACTGCTGCTGTCATTTTCATGCTGACTATCACCGCCCTGATCTAAGACGGGCGTGTTGATGCTTTCAATGTAGATGTCTGGAAGGTTGTTTGGCAAGTTGCTGGTCCTCACCAGCACGTAAGAGTGTTCACCTTCAAAGTCATGCTTCATTTTATCAAATGTTTTATATTCAGGGTCCTTCTTGATCGTACACTCATCGAAGTCTGTCGGGAACAAGAAGAGCAGTTAAATAAATAGGAACAAAAGCATAGTTTAGGTACATTGCAGGCATGTAGACTACCTGTAGACTGGCAGTAATAATTGCCCTTTTCATTTTGAAGGCAGACAGCATTTCCATCACATTCATCTTCATCATCACAGTCAATCTTTCCTATTCCGTCATCCTTCTCACATTCACATTTCTGACTGCAGTGATCTGTGTACCACTGTTCATTGAACTGAAAAGACACAGACAGTCAACATACCACATGACCACAAGCTCATTTTCAAAATTGTCCATATTGTCAATTTGTCTTACTTGGTGTTTGGTGCCATTCTTGTCCACACAGCCACATTGTTCCAGAGGCACACAAATCTTCATTTTCATGACAAAGCCATCGTCGCACACACATCCAGGAACACAAACCTCATTGTCACTACAATGTGGTGGGCCATTCAAGAAAAAACAGGTTGGACTACATGCAGGGACACAAGTGGTATAGTGACTATACCGTGGGCAAATTGGTGCTGGGGAAGGAAAGATGTATAGAGTTGGAGAACAGATATATCCTCAGTTATAAACTTCAAATGACAGAAAAACAAAATAAAAAAAAGTTTTTGTTATATATTGAAAATGTATTTGTTAATCCCAAAAAGTTGATTCTGTTCATCTGGATGTATCATTTTCATTGGGAGCAACACTGGATGATTGAGCATGCATCAAGACATGTGCTTGTTATTGTCTTAAGCTTAGAACTGACATACATGCACAAACATAACATGACAGCTACTGTATACATTTTAGGAAACCCAATTCAATGTTTCAATTTGTTTTTATAACTATAGACACACAAAAAGAACTTACTTGGTACCGTCAGGGTTGTTTGTTGCGGTCTTGCTGTTGTTGTAGATTGCGGTTTATTTGTTGTGGGCTGGGGTCCAACTGTGGTTGATGGTTGTTGCCCAGCTGTTGTTTCCGGCTTTAGTTGAGTTGTGGTTGATGGTTGTGGCCCAGCTGTTGTTTCCGGCTTTAGTTGAGTTGTGGTTGATGGTTGTGGCCCAGCTGTTGTTTCCGGCTTTGACTGAGTTGTAGTTGTTGTTGGATTGACCAGTTCTGTAACAATATTTCACAGTCCGGTCTGTCATTTAGATTGTCAAATAGTGTTTGGACTGCACAAAATATAGTTAGGACATTAGGATTACCTGCACAGCGCCCATGATAAAGTGACACATCATCTACTGCCACATCAGACTGAGTATTCGAACCTCTTCGTCCTTCAAATATAATCTAAACGTAAAGAGGTTACTGTTACATGGCACTATACTTGTGATGGTATACAGAGTGATTAGGTTACACTTAAATTAAAAGTATTGGACTGTTATTTATTTGCAGTGCAGTTTTCCAACATCAGATAGGTCTAATAAAGAAATGTCTCTGATAGGTAACACACCTGGAAAGTGTCTGTTGCTGTAATGTCCACCTGAGCCAGGTGCCACATATTTCCTTGGTCATTCTGCTTCCTCCAAATCTGATTGGCTATTCTGTTTTGGAGCAGGTAAACATGGAGTCCCATTGTGTCTGCTGAGCCGTACATATGGTACCAGAACTGCAGACACTGAGGTCCAGAGTCAGAGCACTCAGAGCTGATGAAACGCGCTGTGTCTCCATATGATGCACTGTTGGCGTCAATGTAAAGATAGTGGCCACCTGAATAGGGATATACATTTTTAGACAATAATATTGAGAATGATTCAGTAAATTACACATGTTCAAGTCATTTACATGGTTAAAACTGCTTGTTAAATTTCTTTGCATGGACATTTTTAACATTAAACTGAAAAAAAAAGGGAAAAAAGAAAACTATAATAAAACAAAAATAAAGAAATAACTAACGATCAAATGGCTTTAATATTAAACAGAAAATTAGTGTGTGGTTTACTTATTTTTTTCCTGGAAAAATAACTGTTTCTGGCTTGTGTCAGAAAGCTAATTACCTCCTGTGGTGTGATCTGAAGATGGTCCAGTATTGATCGTAGGAGTGGAGCCACTCTGTCTTGTCCAATCAAAAGCATCAGTTATCATCTGATTCCACTGACATAAATCTTGCTCAAAATCACAGTGCATCTGGCATGCTGTTAAAAAAGAGAAAGAAATATGATTACATCATTGATACAGTAATTTTAGATATTACGTAATGGATTTGTAAACCAGAATAAACTAAAATGGGAAACAAGAGCTGCTGTAAAATTATTACTATACCTGGCTGCAGAGGTGGCCGGCTATCTGGAGCTTCAGTAACATTGTTCTTGTTAATTAGGTTGGTTGTTTCCTCCACTACGGGAGGGACAGTGATATTTATTATCGGTGGTTGGAAGGTAGCAGTGAGCATAGGAGGCTGTGGAGCTGCATTGGTTTGGACAGGGACACTTGGGGGCGCTGTGGTATTAAGATCAGGTCTAGCTGACTGTGTTGTAATTCCACCTACCAGATCTGCAACAGTTTAACAGTGTTATTAAGTGTCTGCATAGAAAGTTAGAAACAGCTTTTCAAACCTGGTAAAGTATATTTTGTTTTTTATATGCTTCTTACCTGAGCAGCGGCCCTGAGAAAGCTTCAAATCATCTATGGCCACATCTGACTCATCATTGGACCCTCTGCGCCCCTCAATAATGATCTAAATGATAAAATTCATTTGAATGATACATTTGCAGGATAATTTTTATAACTAGAAAGCAGGCCACACTCCATGGTTTGAAATAGGTCACCTGAAAAGGTGTGGTTGGTTCAATGTCCACTTGAGCCAGGTGCCACATATTTCCTTGGTCATTCTGCTTCCTCCAAACCTGATTGGCTGTTCTGTTTTGGAGCAGGTAAACATGGAGGCCCATTGTATCTGCTGAGCCATACATATGGTACCAGAACTGCAGACACTGAGGTCCAGAGTCAGAGCACTCAGAGCTGATGAGACGAGCTGTGTCTCCATACGATGCACTGTTGGCTTCAATGTAAAGATAGTGGCCACCTGATCGGGGACATACAATCAGTAAGTTAAAGATATGCTTTTAGGCAATAACACTGAGAATAAATAAGTACAGAAGTTAATTTACAAGCCATTTGCACTTGTTGCTAAAACTGCCTCATAAAGTTTTTCATACTGAATGGAAAAAAACAAACAAACAAAAAAAACAAATCACCAAACTGGCTTTAATGGTGTTACTGTTTTATTCGGGAAGTTTCACACTATATAACCTCAGTATATTAACTTTATTTTCCCTATGTCAGAAAGCTAATTACCTCCTGTGGTGTGATCTGTAGAAGGTCCTGTATTGATAGTAGGAGTGGAGCCACTGTTTCTTGTCCAATCAAAAGCATCTGTGATCAACTGATTCCACTGACATAAATCTTGCTCAAAATTACAGTGGAATTGGCACACTGTTCAAAAAAGAAAAATATGATTATATAAGGCATAGAATAATTCTAGACATAAAATATCCATCCATCCATCCATTCTCTTCCTCTTATCCTTATCAGGGGTGGGGAACTGGAGCCTAACCGAGCTTCCATTGGGTGAGAAGCAGGGTACACATTGGACAGGTCACCATTATATTGCAGGGCTAATACAGACAGACAACCATTTGCACTCACATTCACACCTATAGGAAATTTACAATCAACAATTAACCTAACCCCACTAACTGCATGTCTTTGGGCTGTAGAAAGAAGCCACAGTACCCCGAGAGAACCCACACAAACATGGGGAGAACATGCAAACTGCACACAGAAAGGCATGTTGGAGTAAAACTCATGACTTTTATGTAGTGAGTCAACGGTGCTAACCACCACCCCACACTGCTGCACAAATAATGGATGTGTAAACCAGAGGTGGGACCAAGTCATTGTTTTGCAAGTCTCGAGTAAGTTTCAAGTCTTTATCCTCAAGTCACAAGTCAAGTCTCAAGTAATGTCAGGCAAGTCAGAGTCGAGTCTCAAGTCACTGGTTTAAAAGTCCGCGTAAAGTCACAAGTCTGAAACTTTGAATTTCAAGTCCTTTCGAGTCTTTAAAAAAAAATAAATAAATAAAAGAATGTTGCAGTTATGCTAAATGTAAATATTAGACCATGTGATTTTTAAATCTCTGTTTTTCTCAACACATGACAAAATAGTGAACTTAGAAAATATACACAAATTGTGAAATTGCACCTCTATTAAATGCAGCTCAATTAAACTTAGCTCCAAGAATAATTTTCACCGACAGTTCTGAGATAAGCTGCATGTTATTCTTGGATGCGCTTGTAGGACCGGCTTTAAAATAGCATGACAAAAATATCATACACATTAAAGCTAGTTGACATCACAAAGTTAGATGAAGTCAGCTATCTCATCGTAGCAAAAGAGAAGCACCACCTACCGTTCTTTATGCAACTTCAACTGTCGGACAAAGTTGGAAGTTGTTCCATCTCTGTCCGTGATTCTCTTCTTGCATATTTTGCATATTACATTTCGTTTTTTTTGTTGACTACTTCATAGTTTATGTACCTGAAAAAAATAACTCCTTGCAGCATTTTTGAGCGTTTCTTTTTTTCTTCTTAAAAAACTCTGGTTAATTTGATTGGCTGTGCTACAGCTCACGCACACATACGTACGGAGTGTGGTTGGAATAAATGAATGAATGAATTGAATTAAAGGTGCACACTTTCTATATAATATGTGTGTTAAATTTTAGATTTGGGGTGAAATATCAAGTCTTTTCAAGTAAACCGGTTCAAGTCCAATTCAAGTCCCAGGTCACTGGTGTAAAAGTCCAAGTCAAGTCACAAGTCTTAGAACATTTTTTCAAGTCAAGTCTAAAGTCATAAAATTAATGACTCGAGTCTGACTCGAGTCCAAGTCATGTGACTCGAGTCCACACCTCTGGTGTAAACTATTATCTGTTAGAGTATAAATGGGACATTGAAGTGTTACTGTGAAATTATTACTATACCTGGCTGCAGAGGTGGCCGGCTATCTGGAGCTTCAGTAACATTGTTCTTATTAATTAAGTTGGTTGTTTCCTCCACTACGGGAGGGACAGTGATATTTATTATCGGTGGTTGGAAGGTAGCAGTGAGCATAGGAGGCTGTGGAGCTGCATTGGTTTGGACAGGGACACTTGGGGGCGCTGTGGTATTAAGATCAGGTCTAGCTGACTGTGTTGTAATTCCACCTACCAGATCTGCAACAGTTTAACAGTGTTATTAAGTGTCTGCATAGAAAGTTAGAAACAGCTTTTCAAACCTGGTAAAGTATATTTTGTTTTTTATATGCTTCTTACCTGAGCAGCGGCCGTGATAAAGCTTCAAATCATCTATGGCCACATCTGACTCATCATTGGATCCTCTGCGCCCCTCAATAATGATCTAAATGATAAAATTAAATTGAATGATACATTTGCAGGATAATTTTTATAACTAGAAAGCAGGCCACACTCCATGGTTTGAAATAGGTCACCTGAAAAGGTGTGGTTGGTTCAATGTCCACTTGAGCCAGGTGCCACATATTTCCTTGGTCATTCTGCTTCCTCCAAACCTGATTGGCTATTCTGTTTTGGAGCAGGTAAACATGGAGGCCCATTGTATCTGCTGAGCCATACATATGGTACCAGAACTGCAGACACTGAGGTCCAGAGTCAGAGCACTCAGAGCTGATGAGACGAGCTGTGTCTCCATACGATGCACTGTTGGCTTCAATGTAAAGATAGTGGCCATCTAGAAAAGGTGATTGAAAACATTAAAGATATAATAATATAAGGAATAAGTCCACCGTTACATCATACCTTTAGATGTATTATGGTTTTATTAACTGTCAGTGTAAATTTTACATCAAATCTTACCACCAGTGTGGTCAGCAGAGGGCCCCGTCATTAAAGTGGGGGTAGAACCTCTTTGCCAGGTCCAGTCAAAAGCATCCGTAATCGTCTGGTCCCAGCTACAAAGGTTGCTTTCAAAGTTGCAGTCAAGATTGCAGACTAAAGGGAAACATTTGGAGAAAAAAAAATAGCATGAGTCATGAGATACTTGCTATACTTCCTAAAAGTGAACCCTAGTTACGATTAGAATCTGCACACTCAGTACATGAACAAGATGTAAATGTTAATTTTTAACTTAACATAAGGTTTTATGATGCAGAAACACATGACTTGTAAAATATAACTTCCTGTGTATTTACTTTGGTGTAAGGGGAGCATTTCTGTAGTTGTAGAAGGCTTAGTTCCACTTCCCAGGGCTGGAAAGCTACCTAAATAAAAACAACGCTGACTTTTGGTAAACTCTGTCACATCAGTTATGCTAAAGAAGTTTATATCTTAAATGATTTACTTTCCAAACTGTTTACAACAGTATTGCATAGTTCCATATTTATTAAGCACCTACAGTTTGCTTTGCCTTTGTTACCTGAACATGAGCCAAAATGGACAGATATGTCATCTATGGCCACATCTGACTGATAATTAGAGCCTCGAATTCCTTCTATTATAATCTGAAAGGCATAAGAAGAAAATAGAATTCTAAATTAGGATATCAAGTCTTGATTTCCAGCAAGCCCTTCATACATTTCTTATGTTCATGTATTGTCAAACTCACTTGGAATGGACCAGACACTTTGACATCAGCTCTTCCCAGATGCCATTCTGGTCCCTGGTTGTCCATCATGGACCAGAGCTTTGTTGTTTTACTGTCTTTCAGCAGGTGGATATTAAGAGCCATGGCTGTGGCTGAACCATACATATGGTACCAGAAATACAGGCAGAGTGGTCCGTTAAAATTACACGCCGAGCTCATCAAACGGGCAGAGTCTCCATGAGTTACACTGTCTCCCTCAAGGTACATGTAGAAACCAGCTATGGAAAAGTTGAATATTACACATTAAGTATAAACAATGTTATGAAACCAACCAAAATAGACCCCAACCTCTAAAAAGGAAAAACAACAGAAGTAACAGACTGGTTTTACCTCCAGTGGTGTGGTCTTGGTTTGGACCTGTTAAATTTGTTGGTGTGGGTCCAGAGTGTTTTGTCCAATCAAAAGTGTCCTGCATAAGCTGCTCCCACCCACACAGATCTTTTTCAAAATTGCAGTTCAAGGGACAAACTATAGAAAGCAAAATGTAAATAATGGATGAAAGAAACAAACAATGGAAATGCTGATTTATGAGTTAATAATAATTTCTGAGATACAGTGCTTTTAAACTTTGAAAAAACTTTAATATCCCATCTAATGTGTCGAAGGTTATACCTCAGGTCAGCAAAAGAACTAAAATATATTTACACTTCTATTAAATATTGGCACATAGAAAGCAAGCAAGCTTATTAGCTAAGCTAATATTTGTTTTGAAATGATTTTTTGTAAACTGTATCACGTCACTTATTTAAACTAGTCCCCGATAAACTTTCTAAACTGTGAATGCTCTTACAAGTTTGATCTGGTGTTGGAGAAGCAGTTGTTGGAGGAGCTGTTGAGGTAGAAAGGCCTTCTGAAATTGGATGAAAACACACACAGTTAACACAACCTATCTAGACATCCTACTGTATATTTACTTGTATGATAATAACAGTGTCATCCTCATATTTGATGCAAATACCCACCACATGCTGTGCCAGTCTGCCAATTTGGAAGTTCAACTCCTGAAACCTGGCATGCTGTTGCATAGGACTTCAGAGATTCACAGAGTGTGTGTTGGTCGCCGCTCGTAGCACAGTAGTCATACACACAACTATTGAGGTAAATGCTTGGGTGAATGTGTTCATGACAGGGCATGAAAACACTGCCAAACAGCACTGAACACTCATTGTAGGCTGTATCCCTCTCATCCTTGTCACAGAGTCTTGGATTGTTTGGACGAGCTAAACATCTGAGAAAATTTAGACAAACAGAGATTAGTTACTTCTAGATTATACTGTACATGGACGTAACTTTGTGCTGAACATTGAGGGGGTCAAGACCTCTATCTAAATAAATAAATAAATCTGGGTAAACTCCCAGATGATTAAACATGCAACTATCTTGCTGGTAATAACTGAAATGAGTAAAGAAAATCAACAGCCTATCTATGCAAGGGTGGGGTAATATTAGCTGGGTCTGATTATTGGGAGGGGGGTCATAACCCCCCTAGAAATTACGCCCCTGATACTGTATAAAACATGTTGATGTAATTTTAAATAAATTACGATGCATAAAGAAAAATATATGCTAGTGTGTGAGTTTAGTACATTGGCTAGCCAAGGCGCCAGGTTGTATTCACTCAAAAAAATAACTTTTCACCCTTAATATGTATGATGCGACCATTCTGAGTAAAAAGAAGCTGAAGGATATAAAATCAAAGGTTTATTTATTCAAATACTCAATCTTCAAGGAAAATGTGCTTTGTATAAACTGAATATATACAAATCAAGTAAATTTAATTTGACCAGATTCATTTCAACATTTTACATGGAACACTTACATAATACGTAATTTAATTATTTAAAGTCAGCAGTTTTTGAAGAAATACGTGTTCCCTGCAGTTGTCTGACAAGCTGAGCAGATTTTTAGATGTTGGCTTGAAATAAAATACCTCCCTCTGTTGTGCCTGAACTGCAAATCCTGCATGTGTGTCTATTTCATGATTTGCCGTGATAGCAGGTTGGGTTATTACGTTGTGAATGTAATGTAATAACCCCCACCCCGCCACAAAGACACTCAAAACCTGCTTAGATTACTAACATACAACAACAATGCTGGCAGGCTCAGGCTCAGCAGGTGATGTTCACTGATTTTACTAAACATATTATGTTGCTTATTAGTATGAAAGAAAAAGCACAATTCAGGCTCATTGGAGAGTAAACACTGCCACTCTGCTGGCGCTAAAAAATGCAGTCATTTTACTAGCTTTTGTTTTTTTCAATACTATGCTGGTATATTTAGGTACAGAAGTGCCATACTGGTACCCAAATGTTTGCTGTTACTGTGTACAGTATTAAAATAACTCACTCAGAGTTGTTTGGGACCCTCCAGCTGTCACCAAACTCAAACGCTTCTGACACGTTTTGGCCTCCTGGAGTTACAAAGTCATCGTCCTGGTATCCAGAAAATGTGCCACACAGACCACACAGTTCATATTTGTAGTGCTCATCCACCTGCAGAAACAGTCTGTTCTCTCCATCTATGTGCATTTTGAAGCCAAAAGTTGTCTCCAAGATGATATGATTATTCTTCACATACACCCATACTGAGCCATATGTCCCGCTGGTGGAATATGGCAGTTGGACTTGCTTATAACTGACCTAAAGAAAGGACAGTCTTTTAATAATTGAACTTATTTTGCATGTTGTTTTACATAAAGTAGAGATAATATTTTCTTGAAATAGTTAGTTAGGTTAGTGCTACCAGTGACCTACTAACTAACTAAAGTATAGCCCTTTAGCTTGCTTAAGTTCCAGGTTGTAAACAGCTGACTTCCTCTAACGATCTGACACAACAGTAACTGACCTCTAAAAACGTGTGAAAGTCATCTGCCACTGTCATTAATGAATTACAGGAGATAATGCAGAACAAAAGAAGTCCTTGTGCAGTAAAATGTAAGCTGTAACTAATCCCAGATCACTGTTCTTGAAAACAGCCCTGTTGAATTTAAAGAGGAAGAAATGTTTTCAATGGTGTTAAAGAGAGAATTGCTTTCTTACATAGACCTCTCCGCTTTGATTCAAGATGAGATACAGATCCTCGACTTGGAGAGCCACGGCTTGAAGCTTGGATCTGGTGAAGTTCTGAAGGGGGGGGTGGGTGTTGTGTCCAGATACTGTGAACTGGACTGAGCTTCCTCCACCACATGTGGTGGTCAATATGTAACTGCATCCCCCTTGAAAGTCATATGCCAGACCGTCAAAGGTGATGTAGTGTGGATCACCGTACACACTGCAGGTGGTGGGTTTGAAAAGGAAGCAGCCTTTGACCCCATCTTTAACCTTACAAACTTCATTGTCTGCACATTGCATTTGAGTGCACTGCATATTGTTATTACCCATACACTGACACTGTTGCACACAATCTCCTTCCACCAGTGTTTCTCCTTTCTGCAGGCAGAACAGAGTTATGTGAATAAATTACTGTGAAATTGAATATGTGAATAAGAAATTGTGTTGTGTTCATTTACCTCACTTACCTCATAGTGTTTTCCATTATACCAGCACCCGCAGTCTTCTGCTGGGACACACTTTTCCCCACTGAGTTTGAAGCCAGAATCACACTCACATCTTGCCTCACAGCTTCCACAGGAGCCAGCTATATCCAGACTGGAGCACACCTCGGGACAGCCATCAGCACACGAGTTATAGTGGCTGTTCTCACCGCACTGAATGGCTGAGGGGATCCGAGAAAAAGACAGGAAAGAGTGCATGACCTTTACTGTTATCAGTTATTATTTGCCACTGTGTGCTCTATTTTGAAAAGGAGGAAGAAAACAAAAGCAGGATTTAATAACGCAACATACGGCAGATTGTGGAGTTCCTCAACATGGGTACTGCAATGCCAGCTTTATTGCAGATATCAATATAGACCTGTAGCGTCTCACATAGCACGGCTTGGTCACCATGAGTAGAACACATGGCAAACACGCAGCCTCTGATATAGCTGTCTGCCCCTACAACTGATAAGCAGTCAGCAAAGGGACCAGTAGTAGAGAATAAGCCTCCACAGTACAGCTCGCTGGCATACTGTGCCTCCTCCAGTGGGTCACACTGAGGGAATAGAATGGTTTCACAGGAAGAGGCAGTTTTCCCAGTCTGCCAGCTTCCAGCCAAAGCTGTTGCGTTTTGTGAATCGAGGTTCCTAAAGTCATCTTCTTTGAGGTGGTTAAAGTTGCCACACATGCCACAGACTTTATCAGAATAGGTTGATGGGAGGGTGATGTGGACCACACCAGTGCTGTCAAATGAGACTGTAAGACCAAAAGTGGTTGCCAGCACAATAGTGGTAGGGGTGCTCCTGATGTTGACAGTGTCGCTGTTAAGGCTTAGTGGAAGCTTTCTCCAGATCCCATTAATCTGAAAAACAGTGTTAGTTTAGCCTTTTTTACCAGTTGCCATACACAATATGGACTTATTGCATTTGAAAGTTTATATAAAAGAAGGCACTTAGAAGATAGCTGTGCTTATAAAGGCCAATATGACCCATTAGTCCTTTGCCAGTGGCAATAAAATCTGCCCTTTATGCATTTATGGGAATCGCTGGATTTGGTGCTTTACTTGGCTCAGTGGTCATTACTTCATAATGGCGAGGCAAAAGGAAGTGCAGTTGTATGAACAGTAGTTATGGATTATGAAGTTTACAGAGCAGTATAAAACAGAAAATGTGAATACATAATACTATATTTTTATTAGGAAAATAGCTGTTAGCAAACAGATATTCGTTCAGTAGTTGACAGTGGCTTTGTTTACAAAATATTGACTTCCTTAGTAATGTAAAGTACTCAAATTGTCTTCATATGTATGTGTCAGAAATGTACTCTTCAGTGTTTGTAAATGTTAAATGCTGGGATAATTAGTAATTAACTGTGCCATAAATGTCTTCCATACATATAAGTAACTCACCACAACCCGGTCTGTTTGGCTTTTCAGCAGAGACACCCTGTAAATCCTCATGTTAATATTGATCTTCTGGACCTCTGGCAGAGATGTGTTATCATTCTGCTCATTGACCACTTCCACAGCGAACATGGGCAGAGTTTCAGTGGGTGAGCAGGTCTTAGCCAGAACATAAGTGCAGGCGGTCGTGAAGCGGAACAATACTCCATCAAAAGTGCTGCCGTCTGCGTGACTGTGTATAGTGCACATCCCAAAGGTAGAAGTCCCATTGGGGCCTCTTCTTTGAGGACCACAGAGTTGGCCTTCAGGGCAGTGAGAGGGAAAGCAGGAGAGTTGGCCAGCAGAACAGAGGCAGCGGGTGGTCTCATCTGTCCATATCTCTGCGTTTGATTCACACTGTCGTCCTGTTGGGGTGACCATATTAACAGCTTATCGACACCTATGTAGGATTAATAACATTAAAAAACTGTATTCAGTTTTAATATTGTAGTTCAGAATGTTTTCTAAAACATCCTCATCAAAAAATGTCTTTGTGACAATTCTTATGACACGTCTTCTGTTTTTATGTACCGCACAAAGGTTATTATGAATACAGTTCAATCTTTTCATTGATTTGTGGCACTAGAGCTGTTGTTGAGAAGTTTAATTTGGTAAATACTTACCACAGGAGCCTTTTCTTACACCTATCTGTTTAAATGTGATCTCTTTCTCTATGGACAATCCTTGAACCACTTCAAACACAACCTAATATATAAAAAAGGTAATTTATTTAAGGACATGCTATAGAATATTTATATTATGACAGTACAGTTCTAATGTGTGCTGCTATGTTTTATTTTACCCGAGTCCTGGACTCAGTGATGTTCAGGGGCACAAACGCTTGCCTCCATTCATTCTGAGGGAGAGCAGGAGAGGTCCAGATTTCTACTGAACCAACGCTGTTTTTTAGCAAGACACGAAGTTCAGACCCATTAGCTGCAACTGGGACAAGGTACCAGAACTCTAGACAAGCCTGGCCCTCAATCCCTAGTGGACCACTCTCTGAAACATTCACTGCAAAATCCCCTGGAGGAGAAAAAGACAAAAAAGAAAACTTAATACGCTACATATTTTAAATGCTGATATGTGCTGATAATATATATTTAACAGAAACAGCTCTTCATCTTTGTTCTTGTAATTAAACATGTACTGCCTTGTACTGAACATCTGCTGTGAAATAGCTGTAGCTGTAGAAGCTGTCTGTTTGTGTTGCTGTAGCTACTAAATTTGAATCTCATGTGTAGGCTCTCTGTTTGAGTGCTCCCAGGAAAACACCAGGTTGTAAAAGAATATAGCCTATTTCAGATCAATTTGTGATAATGTGGTGAGACACGAATACAATCACAGCCTGTGTGTAGATTAAAACAGAACTGTGGATGGATGTTCCAGATATTTTGCCAAAGGTTGGGACAAAATTAAAGGTTAATCAATTCATTCAACTTATCTCTCAGAGCCAGAGTGAACACAGAACTGTAAATTGGCTTGATGACTTCAAAAAGCAGTTCAGGCTACTGTTTTCTATTAAATATAATTGTCTTCACCTGCTCCTTTTTCACTCGCCGGCCACTCACAGTTCAGATTGGCATGTCTGTCATCAAAACACTGTATAACGTATTCTAAAGGAAACAAAAAGTGAAATACATCATTATGTACAACATGTTTGATTTGAGTTCTTATCTAAAGCAGGTCAGGTAATTATGAAATTCTTAAAAGTCTTAATAACTGCGCTACATCGTACCTGAATGTGCCCTCCACTCTGGTAAAGTAACTGATAGGAAGTCATTTTCAGCTCTGAAATAGGAAATCAATGACCAATAACCAATGTAACAAAATAAAGGACTGAATTAAAAACTTGACTAAAAACTTTCTTTGTTTTAATTTAAATAAACTAAACTAAAATATTATTAATCACAGATAAACTAAAAAAATTTAAATGATCTTGAAACCTACCTGCATTGAGTCCCTGTCTGAGTTAGAAAGAGAACAGCCACTGTGACCACCAAATCTGTACGTATGCCTCCAAGCATAGCTGATCCTTTAATAGCAACCTCTCGGCTGCTCTCCTGTTGCTAAAACTCTTTTTCTCTTTGATGAGTTGAAGAATGAATGATGAGCAGTAACTGCTGTTAAGCCTTTTGGTGGAAGCAAAGCTTAAGCGACTGTTTGAATGCGAGTGCAAGCCTGTACTTTTTGTCTTGTTCTCAGAATAGAGCTTTGGGTTTAGGTATTTATCCCTTTTATTTGACCACCTGACCAGGTAACCTCAGCCGTGGGAGGAAAAAGAGGACAGCAGGGCATTAAGGCATGAAAGGGGTTGGACTAGCATAAAAATGTTGTAAAGGTGACGACAACCCTACCGCTATTTTGGTAAACAGTGCTAAGTGAGGTCAAGGTTTAGTGTTGCTATGCCATAAAAGGTTCTAGAGCAAGGTAAGTGCACATAGACACACACTTACAAAAACATAAATGAGCCCATAAACTTAAAAAAGAAACAATTAGTTTTAGAAATAACTCTTTAGATAGTGCTGATACATAGTATAGTTTATAAGTGTGTTAGAAAACGTTGAGGTGATGTGGAAGAATACAACAAATTTAATAAAGCACAGCTTGTATAATAAGCTATTATGTAATTGGACCCAGATAAGCAACATAGCAGAACAAAGTTTCAAAAATGCAACCAAGTAGGACAGGAACCCTGAGTCTAGATGCTGGTTAAGTTGGAGATACAGCTGGAGACACTGATGAGGTTCTCTGAGGGATTAGGTGGAGATGGGGAGAAGGTGGGTCACACAAATGAGGGTCTGAAAAGTGGAATAACAGAATAGCACTGAGATTTAAAACACAGGGAAAAGAGTCAGATTCGCTCTCAGAAGGCTCACAAGAAAATTATTGGATCAGCGTGATTGAGAGAAGTTTGAATTGAGCGACTTGAGCCTTTCTCAGCTGTCACAGGCCTGGATTCACCCTGGAACTGTGGCCAGTCCATTACAGAGCTAACACAGAGAGACAATTAGCTACACTCTGCCACATCCACATCTAAAATCTAGATTTGTGTTGTCACACCTGCACTGTTTTGTCTGTTTAAATAGATATATAGAACTTTATAGGTTCATTCCCTCCCCAGATCTGAACGGTAATCACACATAGGTACAAAACAAAACAACTGCACTGAGACGCACTGGAAGAGATGGTCTCTACTCACCTCTTCAGATTTAAAAGGAACTCTAGAGTAGAGATGGACCGATCCGATATTACATATCGGTATCGGTCCGATACTGACGTAAATTACTGGATCGGATATCGGAGAGAAATAAAAAATGTAATCTGATCCATTAAATATAAAAAAAGCACCTCACAAAACTTGCAACACGGTGTAACTCGGCTCATAACCGTAGCACCTTGGAGCAGTGTGCTCACGTGATAGAGCGGCTGTGTGTAGTTGTAATGCTGGTTTTGTTGTAAGGCTACATCTCTGAGAAAGTTCTCCCCAGAGAAGTAAAGCAAGTGTGTAAGTTCATCTCTGAATGTTTGTAAAGCATTCCCACGTTAAGCTTAACAACCGATATATGGAGCGACTGCCTCTTCTTGCTGCTACTTCAATCATGAAACTGCTTAATGATCAGCTGATCGGCTTTTCTGTCGCGAGTCCGTCTCTCTTGTTTGTTTTTGGCCCACTTTGCACCAGAAAGAGGAAACCAGCGGCTGAACAACAGCAGCACGTTTAAGCTTGATAAGCTGTTGTTAGAATTTATTTAATATTACTTTCTACACCAGGATCTTTTTCTACGTAGCTGACGGCTGGTAACTGTGCAGGGGCGGATCTAGCAAAGTTTAGCCAGGGGGGCCGATAGGGCATGAACAGGGAAAAGGGGGCACAAAGACATACTTTTCTTTCTTATTCTCATTTAAAATGTCTAGCTTTTAATAAATAATTATCTGAATCTTACACCCAAAGTTTTAATCTGATGTAAAATATAGAGCTGGACCGATCCGATATTACTATCGGTATCGGTCCGATACTGACAAATTACTGGATCGGATATCGTAGAGAAATAAAAAATGTAATCCTGATCCATTAAATATCAAAAAAAGCACCTCACAAAACTTGCAACACGTGTAACTCGGCTCATAACCGTAGCACATCTGGAGCAGTTGCTCACGTGATAGAGCGGCTGTGTGTATTTGTAAGCTCGGTTGTCACCAGGCATTTACATCTCCGAGGAAGTTCTCCCGAGAGAAGTAAAGCAAGTGTGTAAGTTCTATCTCTGAATGTTTGTAAAGCATTCCCCTAACTACACAATATATGGAGCGACTGCTCTTCTCTCTTCTCCTGCTGCTACTTCAATCGTGAAACTGTTAATGATCAGCTGATCGGCTTTTCTGTCGACGAGTCTGTCTCTCTTCTTGTTTTTGGCCCACTTTCAGCCAGAAAGAGGAAACTAGCGGTGAACAACAGCAGCACGTTTAAGCTTGATAAGCTGTTGTTAGAATTTATTATATTACTTTCTACATCCAGGATCTTTTTCTACGTAGCTGACGCTGGTAACTGTGCAGGGGCGGATCTAGCAAAGTTTAGCCAGGGGGGCCGATAGGGCATAACAGGGAAAAGGGGGCACAAAGACATACTTTTCTTTCTTATTCTCATTTAAAATGTCTAGCTTTTAATAAATAATTATCTGAATCTTACACCCAAAGTTTTAATCTGATGTAAAATGTATAGAAGTCCATTACTGTATATAGTAACTGTTAAGTCTAATATACCCTAGTAAGCTAGTACTTTTTCCTTTGGGAAGGTACCATCTGTGCAGTCTGCAATTCTGTTGAAGAAAGATGTTGAATCTATTTAATTATTCTTGAAAAATAATTTATTTCTGTGCATTTCCCCCCTGCATCAAATTAAAGTTGATTACATCGATTAAGCATCATGAGGTGGAGGGTGGTTCCCTATTTTTTTGCTGGGAGTTTGCAACCCTATTAGTTAGGTTGCTTAATATTTCTGCTAAGTACTCTTTAAAATACCAGAATAGGGAGGATGGAGCAGGTTTAAGTTTATTAGATTGATCAGTTTTGCTGAACTATGAAATATTTTGGGCGCAGTGTATTTTTTACATACAGGTATAACAGAATAGCTTTAGTGTTGTTATTTATTTAAACTTGAGTATAAACTTATACAAAATGCAGCAAGATATTAAAAAAACGTTTTATTGATTAAAAAACACACTATATCGGATTCATATCGGTATCGGCAGATATCCAAATTTATGATATCGGTATCGGACATAAAAAAGTGGTATCGTGCCATCTCTATGTAAAATTAATTGTATAGAAGTCCATTACTGTATATAGTAACTGTTAAGTCTAATATACCCTAGTAAGCTATAGTACTTTTTCCTTTGGGAAGATACCATCTGTGCAGTCTGCAATTCTGTAGAAGAAAGATGTTGAATCTATTTAATTATTCTTGAAAAATAATTTATTTCTGTGCATTTTTTTCACACTGCATCAAATTAAAGTTGATTACGTCGATTAAGCATCATGAGGTGGAGGGTGGGGGGTGGTTCCCTATTTTTTTTTTTGCTGGGAGTTTGCAACCCTATTAGTTAGGTTGCTTAATATTTCTGCTAAGTACTCTTTAAAATACCAGAATAGGAAGGATTGAGTAGGTTTAAGTTTATTAGATTGATCGGTTTGCTGAACTATGAAATATTTTGGGTGCAGTGTATTTTTTACATACAGGTATAACAGAATAGCTTTAGTGTTGTTGTTTATTTAAACTTGAGTATGAACTTATACAAAATGCAGCAAGATATAAAAAAACAGTTTTATTGATTAAAAAACACTATATGGAATTCATATCGGTATCAGCACATATCCAAATTTATGATATCGATATCGGACATAAAAAAAGTGGTATCGTGCCATCTCTACTATAGAGTGCCTTGTTTATGGCTAGAATTTGATCTGATGACTACTGGGTGTACATTGCTTGTTTGAACTGAATGCCCTCCTATGGCCAGGTGTGTTTTGCATACTTGGTTGCTGCAGAGATAAGAGCTCAGATGAAAGATCACAGGTGATCCAGAATGCTGAAGCGAGAGTACTAAAAGGGACTAGAAAGAGAAAGCATATTTCTCCCAACTTAGCTTCCCCTCAGTGGCTTGCTTTTAAATCTGGAATCAAATTTCTTCCTGTTAAAAAGCAGCCTTTCCTTCCCACTTTCACCAGATACTTGCTCACAGGTGGATCTGATTGTTGGGGTTTCCATAAATTTAAATTTAGAATCACCTGGAAGACACCGATAGGGACAGCATGCAAACTCCCCAGAAAAGTCCCCAGCCAGCTAGGGCTACAGTAATGAGTCACTGCTGTCCTCACGTGTGAACCACAAACCAAACAAACTAATTTGAAATTGATGTGGAAAGATCTAGAGTGCTTATGTAAAAGTTTAATGGGTTTCAAGGCTGTAAAATGAAAAATGTTGAGTTCACTCAAAAAGTTTTAACATCCCATTGGATTGTGGGTAACAATTGATATTCTAAGCGAAAACTCCAGTAATAAGTCTTAAATTACTTAGTCAGGCTATATAGGATTGGAAATAAAAATCAGAGTCAAGCATAGCGTTGCTTTGGTAATTATCATTCCAGGCAACATGTCTGTATATGGATGGAATCGTTTTTGATCAAAAAGCAGCAGGATCATTGTAACTGATCCCTGTTGCTGAGCCTTTTGTATTGGTAATCTCTGCATGCAGTTATATGTCGGCCAAATTAAACACTTAAAGACAAGCTTGCATTATTGAAAGATGATTACATTATTCAGCAAAGGAACAGAAAAGGTGTGCACTAGGGCTGGGCTATATCATACCGTACATGGTAATACTGGTGTAATGTTGGGCAACGATAAGAAAATGAAATATCGCGATAGAATATGGGTAAAACGCACATGGCAGCTACGCAGAATGAGAAGAGCGAAAGTGGATCGTTAAATGAAACAGATGAACCAGAATTGGTTTGTAAAAATGCTGCAACTTCAGTGGTGTGGAACTGGTTTGGCTTTCGTCCGTCAGATACACAACAAAGCACTATTTTTGGTAGAGCATGCTAGCGGGCCGTCGTTATTACCGTGTTTTTTGGAAAATACGGCACACTTAAAATCAATCCTTTGATTTTTCTGAAAATCGACAGTGCCCCTTATAATCCCGTGTGCCTTATGTATGAATTCTGGTTGTGTTTACTGACCTCGAAACGATTTTATGTGGTACAGGCGCTCGAAAATCTGTCAAATGTTTCAGTACGACTTTGCTAAGCTACGAAGCCGGAGCATTACGGCTACTGTAGGCTGGAGCCTCGCGGAGTGATATGTACGGTGCTTCAACATAATATTACGTATTGTGTATGTATAACCTCTTTTTAAGTTTTGTGGATATTATACATGGTTATGCTGAGGATATGTCGGCCAATTTCCACTGGAAATGCACTAATAAATTGAGGAGTTGTAAAGTATTTTGTCTAGTGTCAATTATATCGTCGCAAATTTTGCTCGTTTCGTTTCCTTAACGTTTGAGTCTAAGGTTTATTTTTAGCACCTGACGGCTCTTTTTTGCTTCTCATCTGTAAACACTCTTCATACTCTTTCACGTGATTCAGTTTATTTTGAAAAGTCTCAACAGGATCTTGAGCTTTATTGTGAAAGGTTTATGTGGAACATAAACAAGCGGACACGCGATGGTTTTACCGTCTTGTTGCTAACGACAACGCATAAAAACAGGCGCTTGTCCTCTGTAGTGTGGTTATATTAAATATAAGAGAAAGAGAGAACTTTAAGAAATTAATATAGCCACTACAGTGACCATCAAAACGATGAAAAAATATTGCCGTAAACAGTTTATTTTGCGACACCACGAAACAAACAATAGCGTAAAATGAAACGATAGACGTTTTTATATCGTCATCCAATATATATCGTTATATCGAACAGCCCTACCTGTTAACATTTAATATTGTCTTGATAGAACCAACTGATTCTGCAGCAGAGCATCGCCTGTTGCTTCTCCTGGCTCCCCAGTCCCTGGTCCCTCAGCTCCTGCTGCTGCACCCACATGTATGTAATTGTAGCATCAGCTGTACAGCATCTGATATTGATAACTGATACACACGCCAGTCTCCAATGGAGCATTTCCTCCTCAGCCTTGTTCCTGCTCTGGAGAGCAGCTGGGTCCTTTTTATTCCTGTCTCTCTGTAAATACTTATATTTTATATATTTATGTTTAATGTTTTTCTGTTTGAGAATTT